ATAAATATATATATATATATATATATATATAGGTCAAAAGTTTGGATACATTACTATTTTATATTTTTGCAAGAAGTCACTTATGGTCATCAAGCCTGCATTTATTTGATCAAAATTTTTATATACTTTTCAAAATACATTTTATGCCATGCTGATTTATTATCAAAGTTGGAAACCTGCCATTCTTTTTTCAGGATTCTTTGATGAATAAAAAGTTAAAAAAAGAACAGCATTGTTTAAAATATAGCTTTTGTAATATATACTACCATTCAAAAGCTTGAGGTCAGTTTTTTTTTTTTTTTTTAAAGAAATTAGGTTTTTGGAAACCTGTGATACTTTTTCACCTGTGATTCTTTGATAAATAAAAAGTTAAAAAAGAACAGCATTTATTTAAAATAAAACTAAAGTTATATTTTAAATAAATGCTGTTCTTTTTTAACTATCGTTCAAAAGCTTGAGCTATTTTTTTTTTTAAAGAAATTAATTTTTGTTCAGCAAGGATTTGTTAAATTGATAGAAACAGGGATAGTAAAGATTAATATTGTTAGAAAAAAATCACTATTTTGAATAAATGCTGTTCTTTTTAACTTTTTATCAATGAACCCCAAAAAAGTATCACAGGTTCCAAAAATAAATGAATAAATAAATACACATTTAAATAATAAAAAAATAAGCACCACAGCTGTTTCAACATAATATATCAGCATATTAGAATGATTTCTGAAGGATCATGCACTGAAGACTGGAGCAATGATGCTGAAAATACAGCTTTGCATCACAGAAAAAAATGATACTTTAAAATATATGAAAATAGAAAAACATTGTTTTAAACTGCACTAATATTTCACAATATTACCGTTTTTTTCTGTATGTTTGATCAAATAAATGTAGGCTTGATGAGCATAAGACACACACATTCATAATGCTGCATAATTATCAAAAATTGTAATATAATAAAGTCCTTTAACGCCACCATTTCGCCAGCCTACATTTCACATAATAGGCCTGTAGGTGGCACTTGGGCTTCATTAAAACCCCTTAACTGTCACCGTCCCACAGGTGGGACGTTTGCCATTACATATTTAAAACAATAATATCTTACTCTAAACCTGAACTAATCTTGACAAACTATATATCATTGGAAAACTCTCGGATTGTAGTTTTCATATTTGCCCACAATTTAGCAAAATATATTTTGTTGTGACAGAAATCTACTAATTTGTAACAAGGGTTTGCAGCAAAAAAAAATCATAAGTATACTGAGTTGTGTCCTTTACTATGAAAGTCAAAACACAAACTCGCAATCATGCAAACTTTGGTTTTTAGGCTAAATATTCAGACCACAACAATTTTTAATAGTATTTGTACAAAAATATTGGAAAAAATTTTGCATATGTATTGTTATTCGTGTTTGATGTAACATGTTTTCAATAATCATGTCCATTTGATGCATGATCATGAATGAAATCCACTTTTTGTGAGAGGTTTTTGTAACAACAGGCTAGTTGCTATGTTTGGTAAAGTCTTCTGATCAGACAGGACCCACCCTCATAACTTTGACCAATAATGATTAGGCAAGTCAATCAAATAACACTCAATAGTCATCCAGAGCAGCCGGAGCCGTATCTAACGCTTATAAAATCTCAGCAACTCACCTGGCCAATGGCCTCTTTGAAAATGGATATAGACACAACCATTGTCCAATCAAAGGATAATTGTCCGCTGTTGCTAATCACATGTCCACGTGAAGTTTGAAAACAACTGCTGCGAATTTGTAAACGTGTATAAAATAAGCTTGCAACCACCAGAAGCAGCCATTTCATTTGAACTTTCATTCCACGGTTTCTGACATGGATCCACAGAGGCCAAAAAAGCAATTTTATACACTTTTAGAAGTCGTAGATGAACTGTGTAAGTCTAGCGATGAAGAGCAAAATGAGGAATCCAGTGATGAGGAGCCAGACCTGCTTTTTTCAGAAGTGAATGCATCAGATACATCACTAGATCAGTAAGTTGCATTATACTCTTTTCTAATATATGTTAGGGGGAGCACTGTGTAAATGTGTGGGCCTATTCTATTTATTTTGAAATAAATTGATATATTTCTTTATAAATAAATTTGAGTACTTTTGTATATTTATAGATTTGTTTATGCATGTGTGTATGCATATATATATTTGTTAGGGTGCAGCATGTAAATGTAATATGTAATTATATATTTATTTTGAAATGTATCTCATGAAACATTTTATGTTTATACATATATATATGTATATATATATGTATATGTGTGTGTAGAAATACTGTTGCGATAGGTGTTCAGAATATATTTATTGTTGCGATAGGTGTTCAGATGATTCACTTGATGAGGACTGGCAACCTGAACTATGCCAACCATCCACATCTACAGCATCATGTACAGCTACTAATTCCAGTAGTTTTGGAGACAAGGATAAAGCCAGAAGCAAAGACAGGGTGAGAGAGAGAGGAAGAGGGAGAAGCAGTGACCGAGAGAGAGGAAGAGGGAGAAGCAGTGACCGAGGGAGAGGGGCAGGCAAGGGGCAAGGCAGAGGAAGACAGGAAGGAGGAAGCTCTTCATCTGGCTCTACTGGTGTTTTTAGCACTGGCGATCGATGGCACACCCCAGATGAGCCTGATATTTCACCGCCAGAAAAGAAAAAAGGATCCCCTACCTTTGATCGCCTATGTAAAGTCAAACCTATGTATGACCAGATTCAGGATGGCTGCAAAAGCTTTTATCACCCTCATCAGAACATTGCCGTTGATGAAAGAATGGTGGCATCAAAGGCAAGGATTAGTCTCAAGCAGTACCAGAAGGACAAACCTACAAAGTGGGGATACAAGCTTTTTGTCCTTGCGGACTCTCTGAATGCATATACATGGGATTTTTTCATTTATGAAGGGAAATCCCCAGTAGCTCAGAGCCAGCAAGGCAAGGGCCTGAGCTACGAATCTGTCATGGCTCTGGTGGATGAAAAGTTATTGGGGTCTGGCTACAAATTGTATGTAGACAACTTCTACACCAGCCCCATGCTCTTCAGGGACCTTTGCAAAAAAAACATCTGGGCTTGTGGGACCATCAGGAGCAACCGGGTGGGCTTCCCAAAAACCACCATTAACAAGCTGCCCAAAAATGCTCCTCGGGGAAGCATGAGGTGGAAGAGGGACGACCAGCTTCTCTTCATTGTGTGGAAGGACACAAGAGAGGTATCGATGTGCTCCTCATTCCACTCAGCGAATGAAGGTCAGACTGTCCAGAGGAGGGTGAAGATGGGAGATAGAGAATGGACCATAATGACCATTCCAATTCCTTCAGTAGTTTCAGACTACAACAAGTGAGTAGAATTTTTATTTTTTTTTCAGTGAGTCATGCAGAAATTGTGCAGATGTGTTTGTATTTTATGTATCGACTGTTTGCTCTCTACACAGGAACATGGGAGGAGTTGATATGTCAGATGCCCTCATTGGGTACTACTCTGTGCTGAGAAAAACAAGAAAGTGGTACCGCACCCTTTTCTTCCACTTTGTAGACATTGCAGTGGTCAATGCTTTCATTATCCACCAGCACCTGGCTGCAATGCAAAGTAAGAAGCCAAAAAATCAGAGGGAATTCCGGGAAGCTCTAATACAGGAGCTCGCTGATTGGTCGCCTCCTCTTGATGTTCCTGCTGCTCCTGCTCCTCCTGCCTCTCCTGCTTCTCAGCATTCAGCAGGACACACACCAAAACACCTCAAACCTTCCAGTAAATTCAGAAGAAGATGTAGAGTGTGCCACCAAAAAACCCCCGTAATCTGCTGTATGTGTGACATGCCTCTTTGCTTCCTCCCAAAGCGAGACTGCTTCAATCGCTGGCATGGTGATAATTTGTAGTGCTTAGCGCTGAATAGTTGTAAATAGTTGTATACAGTTGGTCATTTGGATTTTTATAACCATTGGATTTTTATAGCCACTGCATTTCTGTAACCATCCTGTACACTTTTTATTTATTTGTTTATTTTTATTCCTATTTCAATAATTTATACCCTGTTTATGTTCTAAAAAATATTCTGAGTACATTGTTTTAAATAATAATAATAAAAACAAATATATTGTGTGTTTTGAGATCAAGTGGTAAACAAGTGTCACTAATGGAGCTTTGAAATCCCCAATGAAGAAAAATGACACCTAGTGTCCTTTGTTGGTATAGCAGCTAAAAGTCTCACAGAATCTACTAGGTTTGTGATATCAATTCCAAATTTATAACACAACTTGTTTAGACCTCATGCTATAATTTCCTAACATTTTTAGGGTAAAACCTCCTTTGGATTATATATTTTTCCATAAAAGAAAAAAATTAATATATAGTCCTTTTTAATTATAATAAACTTAAATTGCTATAACTTTTTTTTTAATTAATTTTTTTCAACTGCAGACACTTGTATCATAAACATCCAAGTGTTTTCTTAAAAACAAGACCATAATTAAGCTTATATGTAAAAGCATTCCATAATTACAACCATTTGAAGATGGCCATCACCTTTTCAAGTCTGAACTCAAAAAGGGGGGTGACAGTTAAGGGGTTAACTATGATAGTTTCATGAAATAGTAAACGTGTGTATCATATAGTGAACTGAATACTGATTACCATTATCGGGACTTTTGGCGCTGCAAGGAATTGTGCAGTGCTTTGTAGTCATTTAGCATCCATTTTCTCAGCGATGTAATTTCATTTATAAAATGAGACAAACCGCAGAACCAGATCGCTCCACAAATGTAAGCTAGTCTCTCCCATGACATTTTCAACCGATTTATGAATAACGGAAAATGACCGCTCCACTTCACATTTTTGTCCAATAAAATTTGAACTACTTGTGCCAGATCATGATTGGTCGGTGTATTATAACGTACATAGCAAACGGCATTGATGAATTATGCGATATTCTAAAATATATATGTAATGAGGTTCTTAGTAAGGAAGGAAGAAGTCGGAGTCAGCGTGACTGAGGCTCGTGGCAATTTATTATGGTTCCCGTTGGGAACAGCAAAACAGGCAGGCGCTTCAAAATAAACAAAACTTATATCGCTCTTCTGCGGTTCTCTAGCCACAGGCCACAGTCTTTCCCCACGAGTCCTCAGTTTGTCTCGTCCCTCTTTCTCTGCCTCCCCTGAGGCTTTTTACGGTCTCTCCAGGCCAATCACTGAAACGAGAAGCAGGTGAATGTCATTTTGCACTTGACCTACTTACTCACCGCTCGTCTCCGACCGCTCTCTCCCGCTGCAGACTCCGCTAAACCATGCCCCCCTCACCACAATATACAGGTGCATCTCAATAAATTAGAATGTTGTGGAAAAGTTCATTTATTTCAGTAATTCAACTCAAATTGTGAAACTCGTGTATTAAATACATTAAAATCATCACAATTAAAAGAACCAAAGACTTAAACTACTTCAGTCTGTGTGCATTTAATTTATTTAATACACGAGTTTCACAATTTGAGTTGAATTACTGAAATAAATGAACTTTTCCACGACATTCTAATTTATTGAGATGCACCTGTAATATATGGATGTTTAAATAAATCTACTCACTAGCTTTGATTATTGATGATAAAAGTTTAAATATTGTTTGGTCTATTTTTTTTTTCTTACGCCAACCCACTCACTGAAAGAACCATATATGGCTTGAGAGTCTAGGTTTCCAAGCAGACTGTGGAATATCAGTCAGTCAAGCAAAACGCACGCAACCCATAGCAACGCCTCAGATTGACAGAAATGTAAAAATAAGGAATGTTCCGACTTGTAAACGATTAGTTACTGTTTTGTACACATTGTCATGTTAATTATAATTCAAA